TTTAATGAGCCAAAGCACTGGTCTCAGCCTGCTACTCACTTATGCTTATTACATACACTGCTCCTACCGGCACTGTCAGAGGAGACTTTTTCTCATCCATGGGATTTATAATCATAATTCTATGACAGCGCATTGGTATTGCTTCAGGCCAGAGACCAAAGCGGTAGATTAACTGCCAACACTGACCTCATGAATCCCTTACCAAGTATTTTAAAATAACAGCTTCTTAGAGCAACACCTTTCTTAACTTCAACCGATGGACTCATGTCTTTTAATTTGCCTATGACTACTGGAGTAGCTCTAAGGAGATGTGATAAGGAAGCAAAAAATAAAGAAATAAAAGATAGTGTCTCAGTTTTCAAGACCTCATTGTTTCATCTCTCTTTTGAAAGATGTGTTTTAAAAAACATTGAGAAAATAACAAAACAGCACACCATGAATTTTTAAAGTCTTGCTAGAAATTCTATGCTGATGGACCCAGAGTTTGTGAAAGCACTGTGGTTGTTTCTGTCATGTCTCCATTCTCCAGGGTTTTTATTTTTAACTTTCTGAGGCTTATAGAAAGTCAAAGGCTTTCTACCTGACAAGACTGTAGGCAAAACCAATACTAAGTTACTTAACTGATTCACTAATTTGATTAATAAATATTTATTGGTTCTAATTGCTTTTTTAAATTAACAGCTTTATATACTTGAAGCAATTACTTAAGTTTCTCTTCACCTCAAATACTACAAACTTCAAGAAAACTATAGCCTAAGGCAAAATTCCAAAAATTGAAAAGAAAACAGACTTTTATTTTCTACTCAGTATCACAGGACTATTGACCTGGCATTACAAATACATGAAGTTTTTTCATCAGAATAATGAAAATAATTTCTACCATGCTAACTCACAAAGTGATTATAAGACTCTAAAGAGACAATATATATGAGAGAGCTTTATTAAGAAAAAATACATAAAGGAAATTTGAAAGGAAAACACACACACACACACACACACACACACGAGAGAGACATTATCTATTAATATGGAATGTTGACTATAAAAGAACCAGACTAGCAAAATATCTACTTGATGTGTTTTTCAAAAAAAGTTGTACAGTTACCACCATAATTATATAAACACAAATATGCATAGGACCTCTGTCATTAAAGCCATAGCTTACAGCCGAAGAAACATTTTGAAGGATGCACATAATACGGATTGAACAGATCGAAAGAGTCCAACGATTTGAGAAACAATAATAGCATGACTCAGACCTGAGGAGGTGTGCATGATAAATGCTGTAACACTTAAGTATGCTATGTCAAGGAAAAACTGGTCAAGGAAAAGCTGCCTTTGAGCGGGATGAAGACATCAGCTCCACACAAAGCCTTCCAGGGAGGCGTTTCTAAGCAGCAGACTTGAAGGGCCCTCTGGGGATGAGTCATGCAGGAAAGCGGGCACATCAGCTGGCACTCAGAAAAAGGAACAAAGTATCTGCAGGTTGCAGGGCTCTTCTTTACGTTGTTCCAGTAAGTCACATTTTGCTCTTACCTCTCTCTATTCAGTCCTGTGGCTTATTTTCTTAAATCAATTGTTTTCTCCTCTCTAGATTCAGTATTCCATCCTGATCAACAATGAACATTTTGTAATGGTATAAAATGTAAAAAGTGAAAGCCAAATGGTGTCTAAACCATGCACTCTGGTGCTAAGGAAGACCAGATCTGACCTATCTCATCAAACCTAACCTGTTTCCTTACTCAGAGGCAAGAACACTCACCAGCCCTTGTTAACACTGATGACAGCTGGGTTAGGGACACTGGGCGAAGATTAATCTAGAGCTGGGCTCTTCCCTTTCCTCTCTTTTTGAGCATGCTAGGGGAAGGTGTTAAGCATCCACCCTCTGACTGATCTGACCCTGTCTCGCTTTATTAAGTAATCATATTTTGCAGACTCCAACCTTGGGTTTCTAGGTGGGAAGTTCCTCTCCAGTTGTGAGCTACTGTATGGCAGCTGAATAGAACAGAAACTAAGATTGGTAAGTTAGTATAAGGGTTCACAAAATGTTTGCCCAAGCCTAATGCTAAACCCTTTGGTTTCCAGAGTAAATTAGAAATAAATATTTTTTTTTTTCAAGTGCTGGGACTCAAACCCAAGCCTTGTGCAAGCTAATCAAGCACTCTACCACTCATACCACTGACCTATACCCCAAGCCCACAATGAAAATATTCTAAGAATTAGAGTCATAGACCTCTTTCCTCCCAAATTTGAATTGGCACAGTTTTCAATTAAAACAAGCAAAAACAAGTGAACCAAGCTACAAATAAAAAAGCATGAAATGAGATACTGCAGTTTTAAAAAGTGAAATCAGTACAAGCTGAGATTCGTATTATTTGTTCTATTTTAGCAATTTGTCACATTAAAATATAATTAAAATAATACTTAACGTTTTTAACTGCTTATTTTACATAAAATATTAATGATGTATTTACATATAATTTAACTCATATGTTATGTATTCCTAAGTATTCTGTTTTATATACTGAACACTCATGCACAGTCACACAAATAGTCTCAGATGTATGGTATAATCAGAAGTACCTGTAATGTCACTACATGTATATGTTATAAATACAAATATATGTAAATATATGTGTAACATATTCTTTTCAATGCCATTCCTATTTATTCAAATTTAATTTAATCCTGAAAACGATTCATGATGGCAAATATTGGAAATTCATTCATAAAAATGAAAAAATACATAATCTCATGAATAATTTTGCTTAAAATAGATATAATACATCACTGAATTATGTCTACTTTGATTTATTCTATTTCCAGGAAGTATAAGTATAGGGTTAATGTCATAAAATAGAAATCAAAGTGACTGAATTGAATAATGATGTCAAGCCAAGAGGTGTTCACTTTTTGAGTGATAAACTTGCTTGATAGTAATCCCTTCTCAAACCTACCTACGTCTCAAAAGAATTCTGAGATTGAAATTTAATTTAAAACTTGGTTAAGAAATGTCTGAAATTCCTTAAAGAAAAGTTCTAAAGTAAATGTGAAGAAATTATCATTAAAGTCAATCAAAGCAATGTTTTATATTTTTCCCCTAGAGAGATCATACAGAGTTACTTTATGAGAGGCCAAAGGAAGAAAGGTTTGTTTTTTTTCAGCACATTCACAATGAATTCTATTTTCTGTCTCATTTTTTAAAATCCTGTAATTTGCAGGATTTGCTCCTGCATTTCATCAACTAACATTTAAAAATCTGTTTTGTATACGACATTGAATAAAATTTCACATGAAGATGTTCAATAGATTATTTTCATATATTACTCTCCATATGGGACCTTGTGCTTGTGAGGCAGGAGGCAGCACCACTGAACTAAATCTCCAGCCCTATATCACTATTTTAAAAATTGAAAGAGTTGTAGCAATATTTCCACATCAAAAGTGGGAAGTGTTCAACTTCATTATGTTGTGGCAGGGCTTGTTTCCATGGCAACTGCTTCATTCATCGTGTGGGTGACCAAGAAACACAATCCTGGAGGGTTTGGAATATACCTAATTGAATGTTCTCATTGTTCAGTCGGGAAATTGAGACCCAGACCCTCTGGCTCGTGATTCACTCAACTGTCAGCCTAGTCCTTAGGATCAGGGCAGGAAGTTTGAGCTGGTGTGTTTTCAAGACACTCTACTGTCCCTCACTGTTCCAGCAAACTGACACTACAGTGACACACACACACACACACACACACGCACACACATGCACACACACTCACACATGCAAGAGACACTCTATTCACACATACTTACACACTCACTGCATGGTATAAATATGAGTGTGCCCAAGTGTTTTGTTTGAAACAAGCGATTTTAAGAATCAAATGCTATTTTCATGATTTTCAGTATTATAAATAAAAAATACAGTTGTCTTTTTGACAGGACACCAAAACAATTGCTTTAATGAAGAAAAAGTGAGTATTGAACCATGACCTTTTTTCTCCATGTCTCAAAGTGCTTTACCAATACTTTTCATTCCTGACAGTATGTATTTTTCTAGAGTTTATAATATTTTAAATTATAAATTTTTGAAGATATATGTAAAGAAAACCTTTAGCCAGTAATATTCAGGAAACTTATTTCTTAGCTTACATTGGCAAATCCCCATAAAAATAAGAAATGGAAAACACTATAAGAAAAGGCAGTTCTCATATTTAATCTAAGTTTTATCTATAAATAGCACAGTGCAAAGTTTACTTACACTGTAAAGTTTATCTGTGTGTCCCACTACAGCTCCTGCTGAGCCTAGCAGTATATCTGGTTGGACTGAAATTTTCCAGACATGTAAAATACACAGCAAATTTCAAGGACTTGGGGCTCCTCTCAAAAGCAATGCAAAACTCAAAAAAACAAGTAAAACTCAATTTTATAGTGTATGTTGAAATGACAGCATTTATATAGCATCAACTAAAATATTTTGCTGAAATTAATGTTATTCTTTTCAATTTTCATGTGTCTGCTAGTAATGTATAAATTACACAGTGTCTTGCATTTATCATTAACATTCTATTTCTATACCCAGCACTGGTTAAGACCATTCATGTGCTAATTATCCTGTATAAGAATCTCATTTCTCCTTTTCACAAACCAGGAAACTACATATTCAGTTGTGACCTTTCCTTGAACTATTTTGGGATTGCTCTCATCAGGAAAAGAATTCTCTTACGTTCAATAACATTTTTCTTCTTATCCAACCCCAACCTCTTTGAATATTACCACTTGTATATGTTGCTAGTAAGTAAGGTCTCTGTATGGTTTTATGTATGCTTGTCAGCTGCAAAACAATCACCAGGCAGCTTTGCTAAAACATCAGTAATCTTTTGTTAGACAAGTGGATAATCTCATACGCAACAAATTTATTCTCTGTTCAACTTGTCTCGAGCAAAGTTGTCTGGTAAAATGAGAACTTTAGATGTGAGTCTGTGGCTTAGCAGAAAGATACATACCAGCTGACTCTCGGATGCTGTAGAGGATGGTAATGAGAGATTCGCCTGCAACGCAGAAACATGGTACATATTTAGTGACATTAATGACTTGGAAACATAATATATCTATATTTTCAAGAACTGGAGGTTATTTCATCATAAAGTGATACATGTCCATTGTAGAATTTTGCAAAGTATTAAGGGAAAGGACACACCAAGAAAGGATTTCTAGCAGTTTGGTACATTGCCTTTTAATATTTTCCCTTGCAATCATTTACCACCATCAGAATGAATACCAGGTTTTACATATTGCTTTTACTTCTCATCGTCTTCATAGAAGCATTCTCATGTGATATCCAGAATTCTTCAAGGTTACATACTTCAATTTTTGTATACTCCAAGTTACTGAAACTTAAAAATATTGCTGATATGTATATCTATCTACCACAAAATTTTAAATACAATTTTTCTTTAAAGTATCTTTACATAAAAAAGCATGACAAAGTTTCTATGTCTCAGGAATGGAAATGATTTGGTCATAATAGTGTTTACATTAAAGAGCAGATTAAAACTGCTCTCTTTTTTTTTTTTTTTTTTTTTTTTTTTTTTTTTGGGGTACTGGGGATTGAACTCCTGTCCTTGTGCTTGCAACACAGGCCACCGAACCGCTGAGCTAAATCCCCGGCCCTGCTCATTGGTTTTTATATTTCACATCTTTCATCAGAATTCAAATTTCTTCTTTTAGAATGTTTAATTTATATGGTAAGAGACCTACCCTGTGATAAATTTTCTAGTGTCAAATACAGCATTCTTCACTACAGTCACACTGCTGTACATCAGAGATCAAGAACTTTTTCAAAGTGCTTAACTGAAAATTGTGGCTTATTGATTAGTGCCTTTCCAGTTCCACTGTCCTGCAGTTTCCTTCTTACTAAAGTAAATACTGCTATAGCTTTTCTCAAATCCTACTGCCTTGGACTGCGTTTGAAATGTTTTATCTTGTCCTGACTCTTGAATAAGAATTGAAGTGGACACAGAATTCTAGGCTAATAGAATCTCAGACTTTTAAGACACTTCTCCTCACTCAAGCCTCTGCTGTTGCTGTGCCTTAAATGTCAAGGTTAACTCGGCGGGTGGTCTGTCTTCACACTGGGTTACTGTTCAGCATTTTTCTTCGTGACATTTTTAAATTTCACTATGCTGCAGCTGGGATGGTTACCAGAGGCCAGGGGAGGTGGGCAGAGGCGGAAAAAAAAGAAAAGGAGATGTTCATCAAAAATGCAAAGTTTCAGTTAGGCTGGAGGAAGAAGTCATGGTGACCTATTGAGCTGCATGCTGACAGGTATTAATTACTAAGAATATGTTATATGCTTCAAAATTACTCAAATGGATTTTTAATATTTGTATCACAAAAACTGGAGAAGTGATGGATATATTCATTAGTTTCACTGAATCTTTCTAAAACGTATGTATAGATCAAACATCACATTGTACCCTGTAAGTAGACCGAATTGTTAAATAGAAAATTTTAAACTGATAGAGCTGTGAAAACATAAACATCAAAATTTTTAACTTAAAAAAAAAAAAAACTTTTGTTAAAGATTTACCTTACATAGGAGCTAAAGGTTAAAGACCAAGAAAAGAAGTGAGGATTTAAAACTCACAGAAAAATAAATCACTACAAAGGACTATCACATGTGTCGAGCCAGCCTTGGAGAAACCATTTTCACTTCTCCAAGACTAAGTGCCAGAGGCATGCAGAGTACAACCCACAGGCCTCTGTCCTTGTCTAACATTGCATTTTCTGGTAACTCACTTGTGAAAAACTAAAATGACACTAAAAGGACAAGGCACAAAGGCTGGATGCCTCATACAGTCTCTTCTCTTCCTCCTCACTTAGCAGAACATGGATGATTACCTCCGATTCCCCCCCACCCCATTTCTTCACACACATGTACACTTCAGAAATATTTCTGAGCCACGAAAAAAAGTAATAAATGAGAATGATCGGTAGAGTGGAACTTCTCGCTTAAATTGTAGGCAACTCCCCTGCAACTCATCAAAGCTCGGTCTTATCCTCGGGAAGCAGATCCGTGGTGGCGTTTGCCTTAGGATCTCTTACCGAGTCGGGGTGCACCGCCTCTGAGTCACTGCAGCATAGCAACACCGCTCCGCATAGCAACACGGAGAATGTGCGGCCTGGCTAAATTAGAGACCATGACCTTTATTTTAATATCTGTATATGTAGTGGGAAAGGTTCTTAATAAAGTTTGACACATTTTTCAATATACTGTGATATTTTGGAAGCAATATACTTCATTGTAATGACATTTTCTGTCCCTCGAGTTCATCAAAATGAGATCTTACTTGTACGTTATCTAATATTCAACAAGCTTGACTCATTTTTTCTCTGGCACTTAAAAGTGATTCTTGAAATGTAGAGAATTTTGAAGTAAGGTATAATCAATAGAATGTGATTCCAATCAACCGTTTTTGATAAATTAGTAATAAGTCCAAAAACTTGCTCTACTTTATGATATTGTCCTTTATTTAAAAAGAATATATGGTTTTGAATTATATCAATGAAATAAATTTATAGTGGTAGTAGCTTACAAAAATAATAAATATTTACAAAGGTAAGTATAATGGAAAGAAAAAATAAATGGAAATTTTAACAGAAAATTAATTCATTTGCAAAGGGAGAAAGAAACTGCTTAAAAATGAGTGTCATGAGAAATAACTGCTCATATATTATCTGATAAATTATGAACTAATTTACATATAACCAAGAGATTTAAGATCTTGGAAATAGTAAAGCTTTATCATTTTAATGTTAATGTGGCCAGATATTAAATTATTCATTCCAAGACTAGACTACATTTTATCAGGCATTAAGATATAATTTAGACCAACAGTACAAATTCTAATGGATCAAATTACAGTAGCTATAAGTACATGCACACATCCGCTGCTAAAGAGGCCTTGACCGGAAGCAGGTCTGGGCTGGAATTTGCCTACTCTGAGACTTCTGAGACTTGTGTCCTCCCTCTACACAGTGCAGTTGTATAAAATAGCACCTCTCTCCTAGGTTTGGTGCAAGGTAATTATGATTTATTTGCAAGGTAAGGGTTCAAAACATTAGTTGCTATTATTCAATTAAGCATCTGTGTAAAGAGATAAAGTACATAGCATGACCCTTTCTCAGAAAAACAAACAAAAATAAAAAGGTGAAGTGAAATACTGAGGGTAATTAGTCTAACTCTGCAGGTGAGTGACGACCTAGTCCACATATTGTTACCCTAATTTCATCTCTCTTGCCTGTAAGAGAATCTCGATTAAATTACTTTAAAATGGCCTGCAATTTCAGTGAAGTGGGACTTGAAGAAGACCTTGCCTTTTATTACTCTGAATCCACTGTACTTTTACTGGCCCTGGATTACCCTAAAACACAGACTGTGAACTATCAATACATTCCACAGAGCATCAAAGAAACACTTTTCATTGATTTTCTTTTCTTTCTACCTTTTTTTCCTTCTTTCTTTCTTCGAGGCAGTCTGGGCAAAGGCCCAGAAAAAGGAATTAATCAACAATTTCTCAATTAATTAAACCATCCCATAAAAACTGAAAATCTTATGAATATGTTGATACATTGAGAATTAACATCTTTGTAAGTTTGTTTTACCATCAGTCAATTCTCTTGCTAAGCTCTTCTCTACTCCCATAAGTGTCTTGCTCATTTACTACTTGTTTACTGTCTCCTCTAGTGAAATGTATGCTTCAGACTAGAATCCTTGGCACCATGCTCTCTCCTCTCCTCCCAGTGACTCCTCAGTGACTGGTGTCTGGTAGATATTTGATAAATATGTGCTGAATTAGGAACAAAACTGAATAACTGAAAAATAGAGGTAGAGAATACTGACTGATCTGCTAGTAATGATCCATAGGTCACATGTAAAACTGTTTACGAACCTCACAATTTGAGGTAGGCGGTGCTAATTTGCTAAGGTGATCCTCAAGTGTGACTGGCTTGCTTTCTTCGCTTTAAGTTCAGTCTTCCCTTTGCTCAGCCTCCTCTGTGTTGCAGGAGCTGGAAAACTGCATGATCCATGCTTTTGGACCTAACCTTAAGGATCTCTACAAAGTTAGTGACACCCTGAGTCCCAGCAGGTACATACTCGAAAGATGCCTCCTTTCTCCAAAGTTGTGAAGAGAGTTGGTGAAATGCTAATACAATTATGTACATAGACCTTTCAGATTTGCTTTTAAGTTTTTCATGGCAGGAAGGAGAAAAATATTTGGAGAAATTAAGTGAAAATTCTTCAATTCATACTACAGGTGAAACATCATCCCATAGTTCAGCTAATATGAACCAGAATTTCTAAAAGAAAACTTTAAAATTGTCCTTTACTAAAAATAAAGACAGATGGTCTATATAAAATCAAAGCCTACAGCCTTTGAACTTCTACTCTAAAATTTAATTTTTTTCTTCTCAAAATAAATATATTGTTTTTCTCAAAAGAAATGTATCCGCTAGTATTTAGTATACATAACAAGTGAGTACTTCCAAGGATGAGCTATCTGGGTTGGCACCAAAAAACTGGCTTCTTCTCTTTCATCTTGCAATGATGCTGTGGTCTTCCAAAGACATGAGTAAATTTGAGGTGCCATAAACAACAGTCCCAATGTCAAGGAGTAAAAGAAAGTAAAAAAGCAAAACTTCTCACCCAAGAAGCAAAATTTAATTAAGGTCAAGAATATTATCTGAATCAGTTTATATTTGTTCTAGTCTATACTGCACTTCGACGATTCAGTTAACTTAGAATGACTCAAACACTCTCACAAAAGTTATGGGTGGAAAAGTTAGCCTATTTTTATTGTCTGATAACTGACTGAAAACAGAAAATAATCTGAAACTACCTCCAACTGTAGAGATCAAGGTACACCTCTAGAACTACTCCAGTTACCATCAAACTGAGAGCCCCCAGGGAAGAGGGGGCAGAGGCAATGGCCCTTCTGAACTTACTCAGAGTAATCAGAGTCACTCTGCTGAATGACAGCAATGGGTGAGAAAAGAAGGGTGAGACCAAACTATTCTAGCTGCTTTTCCTGAGTCTGGCCCTTGCATCGATAGGGTGTATCATGAAAAAGTACAAAACTTCCTTAAAGAACTTTCTTTTCTTGTACCCACTAAAGCATCAAGCAACTCAAACTGTGAAACTTCTGGATAGACTGGAAAAAACAGAAGGGAGGAGATGTGAACAAAAGCAAAAATGATGGAAAAGGGGGAAAGGAAGGAACTATTATTTATTGAGCAATTTCTGAGTGCCAGGACTGCATTAAGGGCTTTTCCGGCAGAGACTAGCACAGATCTTACATAAACCAACTAAGAAGATCAGCGTCACCATTTTACAGTTGAAAAACAAGGCACAGCAAGGTAAAATAAGTGATTTTCCCAGGATCACACAATTATCTAGAAGTAACACTGCAATTTAAACTTGGATCTAGCCCATGAAATGCCTCTACTCCTTTTAAGTATTACTCCAAAGGGGTTCCAATAATAATGAAAAATAACAGTGAAAGCTTCCAGGAAATGCTCTGAGCAGTGTTCCTGCCCACACCCTGTAAATATAATTTCCTGAATGTGATAAAATTTAGTAATTTTGCTGTGTCCATTATTTGCTTTAGGGAAATTCAAATGAAGGCAGAAATGTATAAATTGCAATGATAACATGGCCCAAAATGTATACTTAATAACTACTTACTCTTGATGACGATGATAAAAACTACATATCAGAAAAAAATAATGTGTAGTTTGAAAAGAATAACCTACTGATTTGTTTTAGACTGAAAACTCAACATCTGCTTAGGAAATGATCTTGTTTCTAGCACAGTGTGTTTGGTCACAGGCAGAGTGGGCCACGTGACAAAAATGCAATTGTTACGTGAGTAAAGAGTGGGGATGGTGTTGCAAGGTTGTGCATATGGCGGGGTGCACTTATGAGTATCTAAGACCCTCAGAGCCACATGCAGTGTGGGAATTCATAGCTACATCTCCAGTACCAATCTACTGTTCTGCTCCTAAATGGAAATCTGTTTATCCTAAGATTTAAATGCTGGGGGAAAACTGATCAGTCCATTAAATTGGCAATTTTATTACAAATGGAAAAATCTTAATGCTTCAAGTATACAAATTGACTATAAAAAGCAATAAGCCATTACAAAAATGAAAATGGCATCTAAGCTTTGATAGTTAGAACGACAGAAAGTAGATGTCAGAGTTCTGGTTTATTTAGCTGAACCAATCAAGTGAGACTTCACTTAAGAAGGAATTTATTTGATGTGAATTCCTGATGTTTTAACTTTGGTCCTTATATTGGCCCCTTTCCATTTATGAAGAAACAATTAATTCAATGACTGTATAATTGAGTCCACACAAGCATCCATAAAACAACAGTATTCATAATTATAAAAGACTTACGTATTTGGTTTCTCGACCAGCTGATCTTGGAAGAGTTGTAGAAGTCTGTATGAAAATAAAATTAATTATACTTCTAAATAATCAGTAAATAAGAAATTCAGCTTCTAAAATAAGTTCATTGTTTTCCTCTTTGAGATTTTTCTATCACTTCCTTATTTCTAAATAAAATCCTCTTTACCTTTCAAAATTATTTTATTAAACTGCGTTGCTTTAGTTTTCTTTTCGTGACTGTTATCTGTCAGCTTTCCAGTAATATCCCTTTAGGTACTAATGATGTCAGTACTTTCTCCACATTTCTACAATAAGTTTTGGCTCTTTCAAAATTCCCTGTAAAACCTTCTCTTTCAATTCTTTGAGTTGCTCGAAACCACATTCACTCTATTTCAGCCAACTACTTCCAAAACCATTCCTTCACCATGGAAGTCCTCAAACATTTTCTTCTCAGTGTCCCACTCACTCTTAACTCTCTTCCTCCGATCCATGTCTTTACTTCTCAAATACTCCTAACCTGCTTCACTGGACTTTCCAAATCAGTAACCCTACTGCTTTACTCTGGTTTTCTTAGGCTTTAGCTTACATATGTTTCATATTCTCATATTTAATACTTTCATTCCTTTATTTTGTATGTGTCTCTCTTCTCATGACAAGTTTACTTGCAAAACAACAAAAACAAAAACTCATGATGAGCCTTACCATGTTTTTCTCCCACACTTGTGCCTGAGAAGAAGAAAAACATGCCCTTTCTCTGGTGTGAAAAACTATAATAGTACACAAGATCCTAATGAGATAATTAACAATGTGAAATAGGAAGAAAAGGGCTAAAGGTGTAGAGAAAGTGGGAAAGGTAGGCAAAACAGAATAAGGGAAAAGAAAAAACTATGAAAAAATGGAAATAAAGGTTTGTAAATGGGGAGGGGGAGGGGGGTGAAGGGAGGGCAGGGACAAGGGGAAAATATGAGAACCAAGACCTGTCATGTAAAGGTACAAGATCCCAATAATGAATGTAACTGTACTGTATACCTAAAATGTACCAATAAACTCAATAAAAAGAAAAAAAAAAAAGAAAAGAAAAACATGCCGGAGAAACTCTCAAATATTCTAATTGATTTTGTTTTAAATCGATGATTTTCAGTACATTCAGTGGTGCATTCAGTACCACCTAGGCAGCTCCCAATTGTTTTCTCTCAAAGGTTCAAGGCTCTAAGATGAGATGGCTATTTGATTCATTCACCTATTTAACAAAGATGTATGGATATTTACTGTATGACACTCTTCTCCAGCCTTGCGAATTATTAGTAAGCAAAAGAGACAAAGACATTCTAGCCTTTTAGAGCTTATATTCTATCAGGAGCAAAACACAACAAAATAATAAAAAAGTAAATTATAAGTTAGATGGCAATAAATGCAATGAAAAATAGTAGAAATAATTTGAAGCTAGGGTAATATATTCTTCCAGAGGAAATTTTCTTTGCCTCTTCCAAACACCTTGTGCTTTTCTAGGCCACCCAGATGCTAAGGAAGCCAGGATGCTGGTTGATTAAATTGTAAATAGGTGCATGCATATCCATGTAGATAAGATGACATTTGAATACAGAGTTAAAAGAGGTGAGGAACTTGGCTCTATAATAAAGAGCACTCCAATAATAAGAAGCCAGAAGAACGCTTCTGTAGTGAACACCCACCCTTGAGAACAGTGGACAGGGAATTCAAAGGAATCCCCTTCCATGAGGGGTATTAAAATGTAGGGAAAAATATTGAAAAATATTCTATAAAAGACATGAGCTTAAAGAAGAGTGAATAATTACTGGATAAAATGAAGACAGGAATCTGGAGGGAGAAGCTAGTAATTGTGGCCCTGGAGATGTTCATAAACAGTGACAAGTTGCTTGGAAATTTGTTATCCTGTTTTGATATCTCAGAAATATAGGAAGATGAAAGCAAAAAACCACAGCAGGATGTGCCAAGAATATACTGAGCCTCAATAGTAGGAATGATCCAAAAGATTCCACATAGTTTTCAGCCTGACCTCAAGTTACTTGAAAATGACTGTCTAGAAAATATAATCACAAAGTCTTAAATGCAGACAATGCTTCTTTGCAAGGGCTCCCAGTATCTGGCAGAAGCAAAGAAAAGACTCACATAATGTCATCTGAGGTCTCAAATAACTACTATAAATGAATTTTCACATAGAATATCAAGCATACAATCAGATTGCAATGCAAAAAGAGATAAGACAGTGTGAATGAGAATAAGCAGAAATAATAAGCAACCACAGAAAAGACTGAGAGTCCAGAAATTTGTTTTCTCAGATCCAGACTAAAAAAATTTTAAAAAAGCATAAAACAAAACAAATCACACTCAGCCATGTTTTTTGGAAGATAAAAGTTAAGCTTTCAAATTTTTATAGGAGACTAGTAACTATAAAACATGATAAAATAATTTGAAAAAATAACTAAATAAATACGCTAGTTGGGTACATGCATCGTACAGCAAACAGGCTTCCGGGGCTGGGGTGGAGTGAGTTAAGGAGAGAGTCAGAGAACAGCGGATCATGGAAGTGTCTTCAGGCCTGATCTGTAGACCTCCCAGGACCTTGGGAGGACAGAGGCTTACAGTCTGAGAAACGTGTGCACACTCTGGCATCGAGGAGAGAAGGGTCGTATTCAGACTGATTCTTTAAGAGGATCTCTCCAGTACGTCCAGCATAGAGTACCACGAGGCCAGGACATAGAGATGAAGCTACCGTCCAGAAAAGCAGGGTGGGGTGCGGAAGTGCAGGAGGTATGGAATAATCGTTTCCTACATATATTTTGAAGCTACAGCAACAGGATTTCTAAAAGAAGAGATATGGGATGTGAGAGAAAGAGAAGAAGAAAGTTGTCTCAAAGATTCTGTGTTGAGCAAATGAAATATTGAAATTCTACCAAGAAAACAGGAAGTCAGCATATGGAATCATATTTGCCGGAGTAAATCGGGATTTCACCTTTACATGCATTGAGTTTGAGACATCCAGACAGAAATAAAGAATAGGTGACTGGGAGTCTGGCATTTAGCAGAGAATTCTGAATTAAAGATATACTTGGCTTTCAAAACATGGGTGAGAATACCAAAGGGATGAATTCAGAGAGAACTGAGACATCAAAGCCCGAATGCCTGAACATTCCAACATTAATCATTTTGGAAGAAGACAGTGAGGCAGCCACAGTGACTCGTAAGTGATAACGGAAAGTGAGAGCATCATGTTCCTGTTCTTCTGCCACAGCTCCTGCTCACTCTTGCCCCGAACCCTCCTCAGCAGTCACAGTCTGTATAAGCACTGGAAGACAAGAGAGCCCTGAGCAGAGGTGCAGGAAAACAGAGGTGAGGATCAGAGTTGCCACGCAGGGACGGAAGGCCCTGTGGCAAACGGTGACCCATGGAATGGCTCCATTCTGGGGAATGTTCTCCTCCTATTCTGCAAAGAGTAAACCTCACCAACATTGGCAAATCCTAGGTCCCAGGCTTAGTATCTGCCACTTCAGGTATGAGACATGCACACAGCCTAGTCAGCTGACATGCCTAGAGAATTGGAGTTTCATGGAAAAGTAATAAAGTAGCTTAAAAATGTAAAAAGAAAACAGCTGCTTAGCCATTCTGCCCCTAGATGTTTACACAAGAAAAATAAAAACATACACACATCCAAAATCGTATTCACAAATCTTTTAAGTATCTGTATCAGGATCAAATTAGAACTAGCCCCTGTCTTACAGGAACTCTTGAGTAGATAAATTAAAAATGGTACAATAAAAAGGGGTGATCTACTGATCTAGGCAACAGTATGATCAAGGGTCAAATGACTTATATATAGTATATACTCAAAACACTACTGACTATATGATTCTGTTGATATGCTATTCCTGAAAAGACAAAAATGTAGGGAGAAGAAAAAGTTGGTTCCCAAGAACTCAGAGTAATATACTCAGAGGGATATACCACAAAGGAGCACAAGGGAAATTTTTTGATTGAAGGAAGTGTTTTATATCTTGAAAATTATGGTCACACAATTGTATGTTTACTACAATATATAAATATAACTGTGCAGAAAGAGGATTAACTTTATATTGGTTAAACTGTGCTGCAATGAGCCTAACTCTAGGCTGGCTTCCTCATATACCCTATACCAAAAAGAAGAGCAAATCTGCAACCTGTTTTCCCCACCACCTGCTGCCTCACATACCACACGCAGAGAGAAGAGTGGCAAAACTAGAAACTCCTGTCAGCTCTGCACCTTGGTACTTCTCAACACAAGGAGACAGAGGCAGCAGCTTAAAAAATTAACCTGTATGAAAATCAGACCAACACCACAGGAAAGTTTCACTCCAGGACTGAAGTGTCACCCTCCTGCAGAGACCAGGTGGAAGACAGTCTTGGGAGACAGACTTGAAAAGGGTGAAGGCTAGACACAGATCTCCACAGATTCCCCTGAGAAGTTCAAGCTCAGGCCAGGAAGGTCACAGGGCCTGCATTCTCCACTTTGAGGCCAGGTTTGTGGGGTGTAACTTTCAGAGCGAATGGTTCTGAGGAGATGGCATTGAGTCCAGGATTCAGCTTCAGCTCTCACACCATTGCTTAAATCCACCAGATCCCAAGTTCTCATCTACTATATGTCAAAATCTGGGTTGCCTAAGCATCTATACAAAAATCACAAACCTCTGCTTTTGTTAAGGGTGTTTCATGAGTGGTTCTTAGGGTTTGCTGGTATACAGTTTTTATCTGATATGATTGTTGATACTGAATTTACTACTATGGCCAAGGTGAAACAGTTGTTGCTGTCAACTGGTTTTCTCTGGATGCCAATATTTGGATTTCCTAGGGGTCGTAAACAATACTGCAGCCATTCTCAAAGAACCAGGGTCTGGGCCAAAGAAGCTGCAACCTATATCTCCACCACAAAGCTATCCACTATAATCACCAGCAAACCCCATCACAGAAAACAAACAAACATGGAAACATGAGAAAATGGCAACAAAATTCAAAGATTCCCAACTCCCCCGAAGCTGATCCAA